AATGGGTCAGGAAACTCCCAAGCAACCAGCCTCGACAGGCGTGCCTGAGAGGTAGCCTGCGCGCGCAACCTCACATGACGCCCTGAACAACTTTAACCTCAATCCCAACCGCGTGCTAAATCCTAAGCCCGACACCCTATACAGCCCATACCCTAAGCTATATATATATATATATATATATATATATTCTATTCTATAATAGCCCTAAATTCCTAAGCCAGATCTTTGAAGCCTCCTATCTCTTACCAAACACGGAATGCAAAAAGGCTGTGGTCAACTTCGCGGACCTATGGAAGGCTATCCCCTGCCCTTACACTTTTGTGGGGGAGGGGACCTGCACCTATGGATCCTCGCCTGGCTTGTCCGAGTTGTGAGAGCGTAAACCCTATGAAACCCTGTTTGTGTTCTTTCTTTGGGGTTTGGAGGACTTCTTGTTCAAGGCCTGGGTTTGCGGTACTTTGGAGTTCGTTGGGTGGGTGCGGTATGACAGCAGCGCAGCTACCTCCTACGAAATCTGCGAGGGGGTTCTTTGGATTTGAAGTTTGAGACCCTAATTCAACGCCCTAAGCCCTATAAACTTGAGTTTCCATTGTAGTCCCTTTTCGTAGTTTAGCAAGTTTTTTAGGAACTACAGCGGAGACTTTAGGTAAGCCCTAAACCCTAAAAAACGTTAACCCTAAACCCTGAACCCTAAACCCTAAACCCTAAACCCCTAAACCCCTAAACCCTAAACCCTACAAGCCGTAAGCCCTAAACCCCGAACCCGAGTTCCTATCAGGGGGCCGGTGATCGCGGCGTTGACCTTCCAATCTGCAAAAGGCAGGGGCCGAGGCCCCACCTTCCTTTCGGGCAACATAGGATGTATAGGGTTTAGGGTTTAGGGATAAGGTTTAGGGCTTATAAGGGTGTAGAGTTTAGGGCTCTAAACATAGCAAAGAGCCTGGGTTCAAAAGAAGGGGCTGTTTAGAGATGTTTAGAACTTAGGATTGATCAGGGTTTCAATGGGTTCAGACGGTTTAGGGGTTAGGGCTTATGTGGTCTAAGGTGTAGAGCTTAGAGGGTTTAGGGTTTATACTGTTTAGGTGTTGTAGGTGCGAGGAGGTTTTTGCGAAGGTAAGGTCTCCCCTGAAGGATCCCGGACTTCGTGCCTGAGAGCTCAAAAAGTGCCTGAGGGTTTAGGGTTTAGGGCTTGGGTTTAGGGTTTAGGGCTTGTGTCTAGGGTTTAGGGTTTAGGGTCCCCGGGTGTCCGAAAACTCATTTAGGCGGTTAAAACTCATTTAGGCGATTCGGGCTTTGCAGCTGCTACAAAAATACATGGAGGAGCTAGTGGCCTGAGACGTCTGTACGAGGCACACAGTTTCAGGTGCATCAGCGAGACTATAAGCTGGTTCTAAGTGCTTCAGGGTTTTCGGTGCTTGTGGGGCTTGAACTTGGGCGTGTGTTGCGTGGATTTGAGTCGACAGTTTCAGATTTGGATGGGTTGCAGTCGACGCTGCCAGATTTGGACGTTTCTGGGCTCGTGTCGGTGCTCCCAGCGTGGAAAGGGAGGTATAAGCCGCAGAACCGCTGGGTTTTGTACACTGCAGGACCCCGGCTATCCAACGAAACTGGTTTAGGGTTTAAGGTTTTATGGTCTTGGGTATTCAGGGCAGGATGTCTGGGAACCCTAAACCCTAAACCCTAAACCCGGCAGCGACCTAGTCAGCGAAGCGGGTGGGAAAAAAAAACCCGGATGTTTGGTGCTTGTCGGGCTCATGGTCGTCTTTCGTCTTGGACCCAAGCCCGGCCACAGGCTGATCGGATGGACCCGTTCTTCTTTCGAGCAGCGGGGTTCTCAGTGAACTTCCGAAGAGATGCCATTGGTTCAACATTTGAAGTGTTTTTTTATGGTGTCAGAAGGTTGTTTTTTCCGAAGGCCTTTGGCTTGAACAGAGGTGGTTCGGAAGATACTCTCATGGTACGAGCTTTGTTCGATTGGGCTTTGGGTATGGGATTTTGGGGTTGAGGTTTCGGGATACCTTGAAGCACGAGCCAGATTCCGCCGGGCGCATGAACACAGAAGGGTCAGCAGTGAATCAAGGCTTCTTGTGCTCCCAAGTGAAGCCCATCATCGGGAGGTAACCCGATGATGGGCTGTGTGTTTGGAACTCAATGCAAGTTGCCATTACAGGATCTTCAATACAATTCTTGCTAAGGCATCGGTATATTGAAAACCCCAAAATCCTACACCCTGAATCCTAAATCCAAGACCCTAAGACCCTAACCCCTAAACCTAGACTCTAAACCCGAAACTTGCATCCCCAAACTGTGCAAACCCTGAAGCTGACATGTGCCATGTGCCGAGGATCCACCGAATGAGGATGAGGGTGCGTCGAAAGGAGACCTTCTGTTGCTTTTGCTTGTTTGGGGCACCCTAAACCCCAAACCCAAAACCGAAAAGAGAGAGGGAGAGAGGGTTTAGGTCTTAGGGTGCTGGAGACCAAGATGTTTTGTTGAGCTTGCTTTTGCAGCTTTGGAGGAACTCGCTCGGATTGATGACTGGCTGCCCATCCTTGTAATGCATAAACCCCCCCTGCTGCAAGAGGAAGAACCAGTGGACTCTTTGCTGTTTTGGGGTTGTTCAAGAGTCCACGTCCAGGCCTGTGGCGGAATAATCTGCGGCTCGAGTTTGCACAACCATTTCCCATTCACCCCCCCCCCCCAAAAAAAACAAATAAAAAAACTCTGAACTGAAGAAGATCTGCAGGATACCCGGAAGACGGTGCTGTCACAGCTTAGCCGAACGTTTAGTTTCGGTGGGCGCATGAGCAGCCGCAGCTCGGCCCGTTTATCTCTTATGTTCCTGCAAGGTCTAATATAGCGGCTTGGATCATGAACACTAAACCCTAAACCCTATGAAACTAGAACAGAGGTATGTACTGTGCTTGTTCAAATAGTTCGGGCATTTTGCATTGGAAGCACTTGAGCTCGCCTCCAGCCGGCCGTTGCTCACACGGCCCCGAAGCACAGCCCCGGAGCCCGAAGCCCCACGCTCCCTCTAAAACCCCCCAAAGCCGAAACACCCAGCAGCTATAATCTCGATAAAACGAAGACAAACAGGCTCTGGGCCTCTCCAAATTCCTAAACCTTCAAACCGCGAGATCAAAGGAATCCTCCTGGGTCTTGAACTACAATGCAATACACACACACACACATTCAAATAAACAAATAGTAATCCGACAAATATATGAACGCACACATTTGTATATGTATACAGACAGACAGACAGACAGACAGACAGACAGACAGACAGACAGACAGACAGACAGACAGACAGACAGACAGACATAGCATATGCATGTATACATATATATATATATATAGATATACATATTTGTGTATATATATATATACATATGTCGGTGTGTGTGTGTGTGTGCGCGCGATTGTGTTGTGTGTGTGTGTGCATGCGTTCGTGCCTGTACATACGCATGCATATACATATGTATATATATATATATACATATATGCACATATATTTTTATGTCTCATATCATGTCATTTCATGTCATATACATGCGTTCGAACTTGCATGCATGTATGCATGCATGCACAGACACGCGCGCACACACACATAGACCCACACACACACACATACACATCCATAGATATATATATATATACATATATATACATATGTATATGTATATGTATGTATTTAATTATTTACATGTATATATGTATATATATATATGTATATATAAGTGATATACGTATTTACACATATACATACATACATACATACATACCTACGTACGTGCATACATACTTACATACATACATACATACATACATACATACATACACACAAACATATACATGAACATATGTATGTATGTACGTACGTACGTACGTACGTACGTAGGTATGTATGTATGTATGTATGTATGTATGTATGTGGTACCCCCCTCCACCTTTCCTCCTTTACACACATACGCAATGATGTACCCTTTCTCTTTTGCACACAAAAAGCACCCTCACATCTACACCACCCCACCCTCCACTCCCCAAGCCGATTGAACCAACCGGAATTTCAATCGGGGCCCGGATCCAAGATCCAAGTCATGAGGTGTCACCACCACGGACTCCCGACGGTCGACCTCCAGTTCGCCACGGGCGCGGAAACTTGGAGTTCAGCGTTTTAGCTTCGGACTGTTCGTGTTTCACACGCCTTAGGGTTTAGGGGTTTAGGGTTCATTGCTGGGGTCATATAGCAAGTAGCACAGTTTCCTTTTCTATGACCACCTAACATAACCCAGCAGCAGACGGAGACAAGGCACCAGCTGAGATCATCCTGAAAAACTTATCTCCGCCGGTCTGGTGTTTTGGGTGTAGGGTTGCTGGAATATGCTGGCATTTTCGGGCCTCGGTTGAGGAACGGCAGGTGAGGCAATGCTGGCAGTCATCAAGTCCGGTTTCAAAAGGGTTGCTGGAATGAAGGCCGATGCAATTAAGTAGTGCACGGAGAGTAGCTGAACTGGGTTGTCTTTACACGGGGCCACGAGAGACTTGACGCTACTAGATGCTAGGGCCTGGCCGGGGTTCGTAAATTCTGAGACTCCCCCGTTTTACTTTGAAAAACCTGGCAATCGCCGCCGAAAATCTGAAACCTCGAGCTTTAACCTTTGCACCTTTAACGGGAGATGCCCTGACTCCAGGCTCATTACCTGCAGCTTTGGCTGCCTAGAAAACCCTGAATTTAGGGCAGATGGTGCAGACAAGCAGTGTCAGCTTTAGCAAGCCCAAAACGGCTTAAGGGTTTCAGTAGCCAGCGAGCTGAGCTTTCGTGCTTGCAGCCTGTGCTGCCACCTCATTACTAAGTCCTACTACGACCGCCGCATAATGAGAGACACCTCAAACATGCTTTTGCTTCAGAAGTATGAACTCCTCGCAACAAAGAGCTGGCCTACCGTTGATGCCAGACGTTCTGTCCGACAAAGGTTCAAGGATTTCGGAGATCGATGCTATTACAGGCGTGCAAAGAGCGGCGGCGGCAGTTGAAGATCGGACATCTGTGGATGTCTCTGCGAATGATGTTGAAGCATGGCCCACCTGCGTGCCTCATAGCGGGCCCTGATGCCGAGTTGATGATGTGGATTTGGCAGTTTGGGTTCCTGCCTGGCTACGTGAAACCTGAGTATGAGTCCGATGCGCCTGGCTTGCAACACTTATTTTTGGTGCCTCCTCAAGGTGCTTATCCTGGAGCCCTTGACTTTACTTTTCTGGAAGCCTCGCGGAATGGTTATTTGTTTCAACCGGGTGTGCATCAACCAGTTCGAGCGCCGCCAGAAGGCAGAAGGAATACTGAACCTCCAGTCGCTTCTGTTTGTTTGCCGCGAGTCCTATGTGGAAGCCACGCTGGCTTCAGCAAAAATGTTGCAGGTTAGACGATTGCATAGATTCTCGAACTTTCCGTGAGACTGAAGTAGCCTCTGAAAACACCTCGGCAGGCTGTGGTGTGTCTTCCTTCGTTATTACCCTGACATGCTCACCACCATGAATCTCTCCGCTCTGAAAGTGGCTCCGGCGGCTCGTGGCTTTGTGTCCCTTACGATGGCACTAGGTTCTCTTGCCTTTGGCTTTTTCGGCTTCCTGGCTCCGGCGTAAGTGGGCCGTCAAAGCGCTTCTGATGGTTGTTTGCGGCGCGGTCACAGTACATGCATTTCGCGCGCACTTCCGGGCCATGGACGGGATGAGCTCTCAGCTTCAGAAGACCAGCTGCTGGTGCTGCTCTGTGAATCATGCGCACCCGACTACTTCTGAAACGCCCCCATGCGATAGAAGCTTACCAGGTTTTGACCGCATGGCTTGGTTCCGAGCAGGTCTTCAATGATGCTGTTCGCTCGTCTGTGGCCGCCGCCCTCTAACAGCAGCTGGGCTATGACACATCTCCATGCACTTGGCTGTTCTGGTCGCTGGCGCCATACTTATGGAGTCTCATGGACGTTCTGGCCAGCCTGGTAGGCAGCAATGTTCTCAGAGAGGATGCTGGGGGGATGCTGTCCAGGGGCTACTCGTCAGATACCCCACCTACTGGCTCTTTACTTTTCTCACCGTGTTCACCTGGGGCATGATCATGGCCCGTTTCTTGCGAGCGAAGGGGGGGGCGAAACTTGCTCACAGAGTTTCTTCACCATGTCCTTGTCACTGCCATGACTGCGCCAAGCGTCTTTGTTCTCTTGTTTCGGAGATTTGGACCCGCCTCGCTTTCAAGAACAAGTTGCTAGGCTACTTGGTTTTCGCGGGTAGTGCTGTGGTGAATTTTCTCATCAAAAGGTTTATCTGGCATTGAAGTCTACGAGCACCTGTGCCAACACAGTCTGTTTGTGTCTTCGCTGCCTCTTATCAGCGGTCTAGAACCTGTTTCTTGTCCGCACCAGACCTTCAAACATCTTCAAACCTTAGTGGCTGGATAACAATGGTGCAGCTTTTCTTGCACCATGCCAGTACCACAACCGTCATTTCAGAACTCAAGCAAACTGACAGCCGCCATCCTCTCCGAAAGCTCAGATCCCGAAGCTTTGAGCTCCTGTTCCCGACCCCAGTTGTCAGGAAGAGTAGAAGGACCCGAACATAATTTGTTTTGGCAGGATACTCCCACCGGGTATTTTGCTTTTATGTAAACGGATTGAAAATCTCCAAAATGAGGAGTACTGAGACACTTGGACTGTAGCAAGAAGGCCCCCCAAACTCCCAAACTCTACATCCTCATTCCTTTGTGTAGATCGAACCAGCCCCGGTCAGGCCAGCAAAGACTTTGCAGACTCGCCCAAGGACCCAGGGCCCGGGTCACCTTAGGGTCTGGGATTTAGGGTTTAAGGCTCTGGTCGCCTTGATGGTTCGGGGCGCATGTTTAGAGCTTTCCGCATTTAGACCGGTATCTAGTCACAGATACAAGATCCTGAAGTCTCAGCAGTAAGATGATTGCACTGTAGTTCCTGCCAGCAGGTAGCGAAAACCGCATGCGCACCCTATTCAAATTTAATATTCGGGCCCGTTGCAGCCAGGGCTTTGCAGTCAGCAGTCACCTTCAGTTTGTTGTGTCGTCAATCGTGTTCTTGCTACAGTGCTGCGCGCATGTTGCATTTGGTGTTGGAGTGCTTGCCATTTGGCACCTGGTGTTCGCGCTTTGTCGAGTGGTTTTCCAGTGGCGTGCTTTGTGGACTTTGGGTAGTTGTGATTTAAAGTCTTATGTCGGCATAACACATTCAAGCTGTTCCATGTCATGTGCGGCCACCAGATTCTCAAAGCAAAGGACCCAGATGCTAGGACTTGGGCCTTCTGCGAATCCGTATTGGTACCAGAGCGAACGAATGCCTCTTCTGGAAGCACCAACCTGGCAAGCAAAATCCATTCTTAATATGACGAACAGCTCCCAGCGCTGCTTTCGTGGTGAAGGTCTTGCGACATTGGGGTTCAACAGCGGTGCCCCCTCTTGTTGATGTAGGACATGCGTTCCACGTTTCTGATGGGCGTGGACGACGGCAGCGAGGTGCATCGCTCAGGTGTTGACAGCCCGCTTGAGGGTTTAGCTTGACCCTTGCTGTGCCTACATGAACCAGTTGGATAGCCTATTTTTCAGGTTCAGCATCCTATAATTAGTAACAGAATCGGATGACCCAAGAAGGTTACAGTATCAGTTGCAGTGGCGACTGTCATTACATTTGAGGGTTCCTAGGGTTTTGGGCCCTCTCTGGTTGAAGGTTGTGTCGATGTTGAAGCTTACTAGAGGTTGCCGGAGTGTACAGGCTAAGTCACCTCGGGACCTGAACAATAAAACAAGGCTTTAAAGCCAAAAGGCCAGCGGAACAGGTGGTTGTTGAAGTGTTTTCGGCTGCCGCCGATAATGGCCAAGTTTCTCCTCGCCAAAGAACCCCAAACCCTAGGCCCCAAACCACCGAATCCCAAAAAGAAAGCATGCTGTCTTGTATCCAAAAAGTTGGTTTCGGAAGGGCCTGAAAGAGGCACGGGCCACAAGAAAGTGCAAAGTATAAGGAGGCCCAAGACAATATAGGCACCCTGATAGCTGGAATAGAATCGGGTTATATAAATTGTAAGGCTATGAGTATTACTCCAAGGAATACGCTACGTCAGGACTCGACTGGAGTGCTGCAGGCAAACCTTCGCGGTTTAGGGCTATATAAGAGGCGTTTGGCCAAGGGCTGTAGCAGCTCGAGGCACATTCTGAAGTAAGAGCCTGGCAGTGTGACTCGACATTGAAACATAAAGGCAGGTAGGACCCTAAACTTTAAACCGTCAGAGCGTGATTTTGCAGTCGGAAAAAAGGTGTCCAAAGAACAGTTAGGGTGTGTCCATGTCAAGACCTGAGACCAAGAGTCCTAGCATCCTAAACTTTGCAAGATGAACGGTTTCCTGCACCCACTACCATATAAGAAGGCTGATGCAACCTAACCCCTTCCGTATGAAATTTGGGGCTTGCCAGGCATTCCGCTTAGCTTTGGTGTTTAAGAGTTTAACAGTGGGTAGAATGCATCGTATTCCTTAGGCTCCTTACTTGTACTTATGATTTTCTCATAGCATAAGACACGCAAAAGGTCTCTTCTAATTGGCAAGAAGCCGGTGCCTTTGTCTAGCCAGAGCTTCTCTATCATGGGCTTTCCAGGGCCCGAGGTCCCAGGTCCTTTAACCGTAAACTACTGTTGGGGGTTTAGGAATTAGGGTGCTGGGGGTTTAGGGTCTAGGATAGAGAAGCCGCGCCCCGAAGCCCTAACAAAGGTCCCGACATGAGAAAAAAAGTAATGCGACACTAAGCCACCATGTGGGCAACCGCTAGGGTTTGGGAGCTTGGATCCTTCTTCAGGACGAGGCCAAGCTGAGACAGCTAGCTAAGAGTGAAGGGTTAAGGTTTCGGAACGAATGCCAGGTTCGATGGTTTGCTAAGCATCTCCGGCGAGAACTCCACAGCCCGGATACCAAAAAATCTTCACAAGCCGTCAACCCTCTTGAAAAACCTAAGTGCAACCACGTCAAGGCCAGGGTCTACAAGGCCAAGCTGACACCTCGCTTGTAGGCATCGATCCACCCTAAACCCTAAAAGCCCTAAAAAGGCCAAGTTCTCGGCCCCGAACAAATCCTGACCCTAAACCCTAAAGCGAGGACCCCTTCAGCAGCGAAGCTGGAGGCGCTTTCTGTTGCTGAGGGGTTTGAGGTTTGGGATTTCAGATTCGTAAAAGGTCTATGAAGTAGATTCAAATTTACAGCTTCAGGGCTTCATGGGTGCAGGGTGTTCGCTTCCGCGGCTTTGCTTGCTTGTTATTTCGACGGCGAGATGAGGGCTACGTTACGCTTATAGCATCTAAAGTCTCGACCGTCTCTTGTTGTCGTCAATTTTCCTCTCGGGCAATATATATGTGAGTAGGGTAACCTGCTGCAGTGTCAGGCTCCACAGTGTGTTCCGCTGTGTACACCCATTACCCATTACCCATGTATGCCGAACTCTGCGTGGCATGTCGGTACATGTTTGAAGTGACTTCCCGGTCAGTAGACGTGCCCATCCATGAATATGGTCTTGCGGGCCCTCCTGTTCCAGCTATGTCGGCTCCCTTGGTCGGGCTTGAAGTTACAGTTTCGTTTCGGGATGTTCAGTACCGAAGTGTCAGGAGTCTCGAGAAGCTCGTGGGGCGATCTCCAACGCCTGAAGCCCCACAACTCTTTGCCGGTGATGTTTGGTAGATCCTTGCAGAAAAGTCTGGTCTTGCGATTGGGGGTTGCGAATGGGAGGTCTCATCGTCCCCGCAGATATGCGCATGGATATTGGTATCGCCCAAGTTCCTTCAGACACCGATTGAAGCGACAACAGCTGGGGTGGAGCAATGCAGAAGCCCCTGCCTGCAGAGACGATTTGAACCTCTCTGTTCATCGGGTTCCTGGATTGGACCTAGATTGAATCTAGATTGCTTGTGGATGTTCCTCTCCTCTCTTCCCTTCGACTTGGAGTTGGGATGAACCTTCTTGTTGTGACAGAGGAAACGTTTCGATTAGTGTTTTTCACGGTATGTGTTTCAGTGATATTTTGCTTTGTTTCTTTGTTCTGTAACGCGAAGACACGCAGCTTACATGCCTTGTGGTTTTTGTATGTGCCAGTGACTCCCGAAACCCGTATAGATTCGACGCCATGGCTCCATCCGAGAAGCTAAACCTAAACCCCGATAAGAAATGCTCGAAAACCTTCCTTCCAGGTTTCGAGAGTGAAGGCAATGTCCAGACATCGCCCACCGGGAAGAGCTCCTTGCGGCAAACCACGATGCGGCAGACAACGAAAGGCAGGGCGGTTTCATGGAGTTCTCCCCGATAAAAACTCGGAAGGTATGTTTATTATTACGGGTCATTGTATTTCTACTGCGACTTTTGAGGGGTCCTGCTCTTGCTCCTGCTCTGGCTCTTGCTCACGTGCCGGCTTTTGCTCCTGCTTCTGCTGCGTCTCTTGCTCCTGCTGCTAATGTTGCTCCCGCTTTTGCTCCTGCTCTTGCTCTTACTCCCTCTCTTGCTTTTGCTTTGCTCTTGCTGCTGCTTTGATGCTCCCGCTGTTGCTCTTGCTCTAACTCCTGCTCTGGCTCTTGCTCTTAAGCCTCGAAACCCTCTTCCCTAATTCAGACTAGAGGTCGGGAGGATTCGCCCCCAATGTGTTGTTCATTCTTAGGGTGTGTTTAATAAAATGGGGAGGCGATTACTGTAAGCCCGGGCCCCCTAAAGCCTAAACCCGAAAGCACCCGGTATGCCCCAAAGGAATACCAAAAGAATCTAATGGTTCAAAGGGCTGACAAGTCCAGGGGAGCATGTGCATGGAGAATAATTATGGCTCAGGGCTAGCTTTTTAGGTTTAGGTTCTGGAATTTTTGCCTCGCTCTCAGTGAAACCATGCAGGCATTGTGTCTCTCTGCGTGAAATCGCGTGTCTGGGAGCTTGGTTTTTGGTTCGTGGAGCAGCCGGGGGACTGATGCAATGGGTGTGTTGGTAGTGCGGATTTTCTTGTGTCGCCCCAACAAGCGATGTGCTGATAGCACCGAAAACCCCAAACCAATGATGGCCGTCCTTAGATTACGATGTTGGTGTCAGGAGCTGGAACGAGGTGTAGTCCCATACTGACATTGTAGCCCTCGTTAAGCACTGCACCTTCCCGCCGAACCTTTGGACCTAAACTTGAGCCCTTCTAAGAAACCCACATGGCCTTAACCCCAAAACCCCCAGGCCCTAAATTTTAAAACCCACACCCTAAACCCACCCCCAGGTTCCCTTGCCAACCGGAGTGGAAGCCTCGGTTGGCTGAGGGCCATCCTTACGGCAATGATGGCAAATATGATAGGCATCGGACTCGTTGTTGCGTCGTAATAGCTGTACACATACAACACATACATGTATGTATTTACACATGTATATATATATATATACACACACGCGTAACAGAAATACAATGTATTTGGCTTTAAGAAAGGGTCTAGGTATATATGTATGTGTTTATATATATATATATATACATACATGTATATGTATATATATATAGATATGGTAGCAAGATATTCCTTTGAGGATTGGATTTGACCCTCGTTTTCCTTGATGCCGTGCTGTGGTCTCTAGAGAATTGCGCCTGGCGTTGTGGAAAGCTTCTTGGTCTTGTGTCACCTGGTACTTGACGACTTTCGGTTCCGGATTCGCCTTTACGTACCGTTTTGACTATTGAACGGCTGCGTGCTTATAGATGTCAAGGTTTGAGGCCACAGCGTCGGTGCGTCATGGGAAGTTTGGCGGAAGATTTTGCTTCCCATACTGGCCGTAGATTGCTGTGTGATGAGTTCTCGTTGCGGTTTCTTCACATAACTAAGAAACACATCTCCTAGCACCCTAGTCTGCCTAGTCTAGTTTGCAGACCCCAAAAGCTTGAACCGCTGTTTGTCCTTGCCGGTTGCGTCGATCTTTCACCCTCCCACATGTGGCCACATGCTCAAATTCGTAGCTATTCCCCTGAACCCTAAACCCTAAACCCCTTAACCCTAAACCCCTAAAGCCCTAAAGCCCCTAAGCCGAAAACCCCTAAAGCACACAGCTTCTTTGAGGAAATCCTGTGGAAAGTTTCAAGCCTTGAACCCACCAAGCCACTAATGTAGGGGCCTTAGGGTTTAGGGCTTAAAAATTTCCTATATTATTTTTAGGGATCTTTATTATGAATTATAGTGCAATATACACCCCCCAAAACCCTATTCTAATTATTAAGGCCCCTACATTAGCGAACCACGGAGGCCCGAGCCTCTGCAGGGCTAGTGAGGTGCAAGTGATAGGGTTTGTAATCTAGGGGAATGAATAATTGACAATGCTATTTTTTTTTTTTTGGAGGGGGGGTGGGGGGTCCTTGTTATAACTATAGTACAATGGACCCCAAAGCCCCATTCTGCTGTGTTTCAGGCGTCTACATTATAGGGCTTGTGGGGGTTGAAGGTTTCTCTAGGCTGCCGGGTCAGGGCCGAGGGCCCCCGACCGCCAAAAAGCCGAGCAGGAGTAGTTTCAACCGAGCCGATATCCCTAAAGCCCCGAACCCCTAAACCCCTGTAAACCCTACCCCGAAATTCTAAACCTACTTAACCCCTAAACCTAAACGGCTAAACCCAAAGCCCTAAACCCTTAAATCCTAAACCCCAAACCCCTATCACACCCTAAACGTAAGAGTGGTCGTAAGAGAGACGAAATCCCCAGGTTTCGCGTCGGAGAAGCGTAGCTATGTTTCCGAAGCGTCCTTGCCATGGCCTCAACGGGAGGGTTTAGGGTTCAGGGGTTTGGGGTTTAGGGTCTTGGGTCAAGGGCTTAGGGGTTAGGGACTAGGGGTTTAGGGGTTTAGGAGCTTAAGGGAGGCGAGTCGGTTTAGATGCTTCACTTTTTTTCGATTTCGTACCTTTTTCACACTCCCCTGCCTTTATGATGGATTGCCATACTCTCGTTTTAGGGGCAGCTACACTATCAGTCTGCAGGCAGCTCGCCCTGTAGGATCCTTCTTTGAGAAATCGATGGTGCTGTTGTTGTTGGTTCGCGTCTTGAGTTTCACAGGGTGTAGGGGGTTGTAACCCTAAGCCTGACACGCTGTGGCATAGGGCTCGCAAAGGAAGTTCAGGCTTCAGCGCTCAATTTTGCTAGGGTTCTCGTTCGGCCTGAGCAAAGCTGCTGGCCAAGCCTTGCCAGCCGCACGGAGTCAGAGAACAATGGGATCTGATATTAAGGGTTCTCCAATACGAGAGTACCCGGGAGTAACTGGATACTAAGCAAATTAGGGTCCCTTTCAGGGTCCTTTTTTTAGAGTGCTGTACTATTTGGGGACCTAAACAGGGCTCCTAATTTCGAAACTACCCACATGTCTTTGGGTTCACGGCCTTGGGGAAGAGGTTTATGAGTTTTGTGTTGAGGACGGTGTTCAGGATTTTGGGTAGGACCCTAAACCAAAAAACCCTAAAACCCAAATCCAACCGTAGCTTCGGGTGACTAAGCTCTGTAAGGTTTTTGGTAGCCACTTTTTGGGACCCCTGGCCGCAACGGCCGGAAGCAAAGGTCGCAAAGCAGTCCGTCGTTAAAGCGGTCTGCGACGTCTGGAGGCAGCGGTTTCACAACTTGCTGCAGAAGCCTGATTCATCTCTAGTATTATTTAGGGCTTCCTGTTCGAATCACACCTGAGTATGAGGATGCAATATGTCGCTGAGTCAACTATCAGGGGGTTTAGGGCGAAGGGGAATTGGCATTCAGGGCTGGCTGTAGGTTCTAAGGTTAGTGGGTGTAGAGCCCCAAGGATTCTATGAAACCCTAAACCCGATGGCATTTAGGGCTTCTAATTCAGGATTGGGGCTTCAATGTCGAGGGTTTTGAATTTGTGTTTTTCTTCCACACCTTCGGTGTGGGGTGGTTAGATTTTAAAGTCAGCTATTGCTCCTCGCCCTCTGAGACTACCTCCTGGAGTGCCCAGCCCCACAGACTAGCGTGAGACTCCCTGGAGTGCCCAACCTACGGACTACCGTGAGACTCCCTGAAGTGCCCAAGCCCACAGACTACCGTGAGACTCCCTGGAGTGCCCAACCACACAGACTATTGTGAGGGTGGGGATGTTCGAAGTAAAATAAATCTGGTGTTCAGCGTGTGTGCTTGATAACTTCAGGGAGTTTGGAACATTCCAGCCTGATGGACACACTTGAGTCTGGAATTGTAGGTGTTTGTGGGCGTTATAAAAGGGTTTAGGGTTTAGGGTTGTTAGGATGCTCTGGAAGTGCTGCTTCCCAGCTGATTGGCAGAGTCTGGGTTCAAAAAAAGGGTTGTTAGGAGCCGACGGTTTCGGGGTTCGGGAAGACTTGTCTGTAGTCCCTTGCTCAAGAGACCTCGAGCTCGACCTGTGATGACTTCAACTCAGACCCTGAATTGTACCCATAGGCCCCTTAGTAGTTCCTTTTGGGGATTACCTTATAGGATTCTAAATATGAACCCCAAAAAGGAACTACTATGGGGCCTATGGGTAGGTGCTACTTGCTTGCCTGGTTTCTGAGTATAGGATCTGAACCATAACCTGCACAGGCTGTCCACAAGGTGCCTGTCAGGATTTCGGTAGATAATCCCCGCGTGGACCCTGGATTGTAACATTTGTTTCGGACAATGCAGTATTAAGGCTTAGGTCGCAGACTAAGAGAGTATCAGGTTGCCAAAGAAATGACTTTATTTGAGAGCCTTGGTCGGCTTCAAGGCTTTGAAAACTCGGTGCAGGCCGTGGTTATCCCTGCCTTTGACCAAGGGTCTAGAGTTTGGGTCAAGGGTTTAGTGGCACCCGGTAGTTGCTTTGGTATAGGAGGTTCCAGGCCGGCATGACCTAGTGCAGATTTCAAGACTCCTCTTGGAAGCAGATACTATCAAGCACATGCTCCTTAAAGCCTACACCCCCAAACAATGCAGAACCATGAAAGCCCCCTAGCTCCATGAAGAAGCGGATTAAGCTACACCTTTGAGCCCTTATAAGCCTTAAAATGATACTAAAACCTAGTTTCAGTGCTGCCCCTGCTAGCTCAATGCCTTGAGGTTTCGGAGAGAAGAAGGACACGCTGTTCTTCGGAACTCAGGTCGGAACCCTGCGAATCCAGGACCGAAGGATGAGGGTTTGGGGGTTTACGGTTTGGTGTTCGGGGTTTCAAGTTGATGGTTCAGGCTTTGGATTAATTAAATTGAGGATTCCGGGTTTGAGGTTTAGGGTTCAGGGTTTGGGGCTAACGGATTGGAGGTTACTCTTGATTGAATAGCTTTGGTTCCAGGGCTGATAGGGATTGTGGGTTTCAAGATCGAGCGTTTCGGTTGCACAGCTTCATCGTGTTATAGGTGTTTTTTGGTTTTCAGGCCTTTTATGGGGCTGCGGGGCTTAGCGGCAAGGTGCTTCAGAGGCCTCGATAGGCCTCCTATAGTTACCCTCAACCCTACCCTTAAACCTTGAAGCCCTAAACCGTTTAGCACGTGTTGAGGATCAATCAAGGCTTTCGAGGTTTAGCGCGGCCTGTGCACCAAATATGTTCGGCCGGATAGCAGCAATGCCGGCTGAGGGTTTATAGGGGTAAGATGAAAGAACAACTCCGAATGAGTATGACCATGTGGAAGTGTATGCCCGAGAAAAACCGCAATGTCTGAATTTGAGTAGAAGCGCAGGCACGATGCTTCAAGGACATCTGAGTTTGCTTTGAAAGGACAAACACATCAGAGTGGACAACAGTCGTGCACAACTAAATGACGGGGTCTGAACACGAGCGGTGTCGTAGTATAGTATGTACCGCAGGACATGATTCTGGATCGGGCGTACACCTTCCTGGACTACGTCCGCGGCTGCTGCACGATTGCTTTCAGACCCAGAACAGTGACGGTCAGTGAGTGTGCTTAATGTTGAGGTTTTCTTCATTGCCGTCCGAAGGATAGCTCATCTCAATCAGCAATCAGAGTTTTAGTGGTGCTGGAAAGTTTCTGGAGGGCAGCCCCTGTCCCGACGACACCTACTTACTTCGACCCCGTACAATATTTGCCCAGTATCATATCTGCGTCGGATAAGGCTGAACGTACATGCAAAAGGGTTTTCGCTACCATATCAGGGACATAGTCACACACACACACACACACTCAGACCGATGTCTATCTCTACCCATCTCTGCCTGTCTATCTATCTATCTATCTATCTATCTGTCGGTCTATCTATCTATATACCAGCCCAAAGACTCTAAGCACGGCGAGAGCAATATTGCCCAAAGGACTTCAGACCTCTTAAACATTTAATAAGCCCTGAACGACTACTGAACATTAGTTGTCCGCTTGCAGTTAAGAGCTCATGTCGGAGACCAACCGATGGCAAGCATGCGATTTGCTGCGTATCCCTATTCCGCTAATTAATTTGGGGAAAAGCCTTCTCCCCAAAAATAATATACTAGCCATCCAGTATTAAGGCTTTTCAAGATATGAAGCCAGGCCTTGCATGAGTTCTGGCTAAGGAGTTCATCCATTATCACTCGTGCAAGCCTGTGATCTCGCCTGCTGATTGATCTGGTTCAGCCGTGCTAAGGTGGCTTGAGCTAGTATAATCCGAATACATACGGCCTTATATGCAGCATATCTCAGGGTGCAAAAAACTCCTTTACTAACTGCTTCAAGCCCCAGAGGCCTGCCCCTGTGAACCCTCAGTATTCGTAGCCATATCAGGAACAGAATACATCAGTAGCCAAACTCATGAAATTAGCTCCACTGTGGGATACTTGTTCCATCACCAAACGGTCTTGCAGACGTATTTATCTATATAGTGATCGTGTGGATAAATACCTCTGTAAGGCCCAGTACAGACTTTACTGTATAACATATTGGTTGTTTCCCCAAAGCCCTATCTATGAAACTCTGATCAAACCCCATGAAACTCTATTAACAGCCTTGTATCCCTAAACCCTAAACCAAAAACCCTACACCCTAAACCCTAAAGCCCTAAACCCTAAGTCAAAACCCCTACATCCTAAACCCTAAACCCTAAACCCCTAAACCCTAAACCCTAAACCCTAAACCCTAAACCCCTAAACCCTAAACCCTAAACCCATATTCTCTTGCCAGGAGGGGGCCTCGAGTTGCGCATGATGCTGGGAATTGACTTCACTCGCAGCAATGCCGCAGCCTTACAAGACTTGAGGGCTTTAGGGATTTAGGGGTTTAGGGATTAGGTGAGGGCTTTAGGGATTTAGGGGTTTAGGGATTAGGTGAGGGCTTTAGGGATTTAGGGGTTTAGGGATTAGGGCACTTACGGACTTACGGTCGGATCAAGGGTATTTTGGGTTTACGGTTTAAGTTTGGCTGGAGTCTCCTGTACTTCAGAGAAGGCGAGATGGCGCCATGACTGTGAACCCAAATCCCAAACCAGCCCTGAACAAAGGAATGATTAATGCCGCCTTGCGCGTGTTTCTAAGGCGTGATCATGACTGTCAGTGTGATTCCCACCATAACCCTAGCAGCCCTAGCACTGGCAGTTTTAGCGAAGCCGCCACCGCCTGCATTCCAACAGTTATTCGTTGTGATGTCAGCTTCCAGCCCACACAAGGCCAGGGGAGCTAATAGACCAGAGCCGAATGCAAGCCCCTCCTACCAGAGGATTCATGAAAGATTCGAACCGTAGTAAACAAAGGATCCCACTTGCAGTCCATAGTGTGGTGTTCGCGGCTGCCACAGTGCTGCCACACATCGAACGGGACCGCAAAGCCCAACACAACCATAGGACTCTGGTCCGAATCATGCAGGGCTTTGGCATCCCGAAACCCTAAACTCAACACGTACAGTCTCCATTGGACCATAACAATCCGACCCATCAGGCTACCGGGAACAGAGCCCACAAGAACAGGCACCAACATGAAATCAAGCCTTGAGCCGGCTCAGATCTCTCAAGTGTGATCTAGACCCTGAACCCTAAACCCTAACTTCGCTTCCCGGCACTACAAACTCCAAACCGACAGATGGACAAGCAGAACCCCGATTCGCTCCACAGCCCGGAACTGAGAACGACTTTCTTGTTTGCTTTTGCTGTTGCATGCGGTGTCTGTTGATGTCAGAATGGGACGGTTCACAGGCAATTCTACGTGTTGATGCAAGTTTTGAGTGCCGTCTAGATTCAACGAATTTGGTCATTCAAGTCGGGTGTGGGGACTAGGGCCTATGTTTACGTTCAAACTGAGCGGTCCACTAATAATGGTCATGTTGAAAGGGGCAGCTTTACCGTACACCCTTAGTGAGGACTATACAGTCGAATGGGATCTTAGGACGTTTCGCGCTAGGACGTGATGCTTTTCAAGGTCCGAGGGGGTTGAAGAATGGCACCGGTCTAGCAGACGATAGCTTCGAGCCCACTTCTTGAACAACAAAGGGCGTGAGTTGCTGTAGGTTTTGTGATTGGGATCTGCAGCGGCGGCGCTTGGGGTTTATTGGACTAGGCAAGCTGTGGGGCAGAATTCGTGGGGCGAAGTAGACCAGGGCTTGGGGTGCAGGGTGACCAATTATGGGCGCAAGATGGAACATACGAAAACTGGACCAAGATGTCAAATATGCTGGTGAAATGCATGTAAAGGCCAGACTTGGCAGTGTTTTCCACGAACTCGCAAGATCATGTCACGGGTTATCCTCAACCCCAAGCAGATATCAAGTTCCAAGGCCCTGAATCCAGAAAGAAATGCCACCAAGTCGCAGCGAAGTGAGGTCACCGACGAAACCTCATGAACCTGTAACCGTAACCTCCTGCAGCCCCTGCATGCGAGTCCCCACAAATTCTGAAAGTTCATGACGCCCGGAAAAACTCAGCTTTAGGGCGCACCCATCAAAGAACTACAATGGAGACTATAAGTAGATCCTGAGTTTGCGGTCACATACACCTGCGAAGTAGTTACATCTGTAAGCCTCCTGCTGAGGCCTAGTGGATATGGACCTTCCCACTTCCTATGAGACTGCGATCATTGCCCTTGGGAGCGTGCTGAGGCGAGACCCGAGTGAATTGGGAGGTATAGCTACTTAAACCTCAGTAAGTGCTCAAGCCCTATGTTCTGATATTTCTGCCCCCTGTACTGAAACCTCAACAGCTGCATCGGTGATTTCGCTCCGAAAGCGCCTCCGTGACTAGACCCCCTGCGTTGCTACTGTTCGGAGGGGGTGTGGGGTTTGAGGCTTTCGGGTTTCGAGTTGTGTCGGCCTGAGTCATGTAACTCCCTCAACCCTAAACCCTAAACCCTAAACCCTAAACCCTAACTGCAGGCTTGAAAACAGGCTCTAACCTCGAACGATGGGGCTTCACTCTGGGATCCTGCAGGGGCCTAAATAATTACCAATACTACCTTAGGGGTTCCTTATAATGACTATAGTGTAATGTTGCCCAAAACCCTATTCTAATTATTAAGTCCCCTATATTGCTGTTGTGTGTCTGCTTTGCAGACATTTGCAACAACCCTTGTTAACGGCAGGATGCTCCCACGTTTCGTTTGAGCCTCTGCCAAGCCCATGAAACAACAAAAAACCCTTAAGCCATAGAGGGTTCATGAAGATGATAAGCCAATGGCTAGGAAACATGCCTTTGAACTGTGGAGGGGTCATTCACATGGTTTCATCGAGTAAATCTGATACGGTCTGCTTGAACTATATAAAACCGACCTCTTTAGGTTTCCTTCTTATGATTTCCTTACACAGTCGTCCTGAAAAAAGTAGGTTCTTCAATTAACCTACTGTTTTCGCGAGATAACCCATAAGTTGTGCGGCTACATCGCGCCATTTTGTCGTGTTGAGTAAGCCCGAAACCCTAAGTCAGATATCCTAGCACCTATCCACCTGGATCCTCCTTGTGCCCACAGCTCGAGAACGAGTCCAGAGCGTTCGTTACTTCGGGGTGTAGTGCGTTAGTACTGTACGGCTTTGCGGTTCAGAGTTCTAGGGTGGGTAGTGGCATTCCGGCATGTCAACGGTAGTGTATGGTGAGTGTAGCCTGCGCCCTGTCCGGTGCCCTAGACCTTCAAGCATCTTGTGCTATACATCCCTGGCCCCTCAAACCTAAGCCTGAAGCCCTGAATCCAGTCCCTAGGCCCCACTGAGCCCGAAGGTTATAGGCTATAGAGATGGGAACAATTAGGAAGTAGCCCCCCTGAAACCCCAGTGACACTTGAGCTCATGAGTTCTGACTCACTTAAACAAAACAGCAAAGCAGTCATCCCCTGAAGCCTGCAGGAGGTTTGAGAGAGAGGGAGGGGGTTATGGTTCAAGGTTTAGCGCCTTTTGTAGGGGCTTAGGGTTTAGGCCCCTACGCCGCGAAGTCGGAAATAAACCTCAACCGCTGGAGATCCTTCCTCTTCGGGGCTTCCCTGGATGTCAGATGACGTTTTAGCTAGCGTGTGTTTGTAGTGGCAGGCTTGGATGATCCAGGATCCTCACGCATTAAAACACAACCCTAAGCTTAAACTCGAGATCTTAAACCGAAGGAGCTATGATACCACGGATGAGTATGCTGTCTACGGCTTCGGGGCGAGGATCCCTCCCAGCCATTCTGCAGGGAGGCTGAGTCAGGGTTTGATCTCCCGTCAGTTGGGTGGGTTTAGGGTTGAGGAGCACTCGCCCCCATTTTGACAAGAAGCTTGTCCGAGGATTTGGTCGCTGATCTGTAAGACCCCCGAAAGCCAAGTCGGAGGTGTCCAAGCCTTGAAATCCAAGTCGGGAATCACCGAGGGTTGGTACTCTAGCGGGCCCTGCAGTGCCTTCTCTCTCTACCTCTTTGCCTCTCTCTACCTCGCTCTCTGTCTCTCTGCCTCTCTCTACCTCTCTCTGCCCCGCTCTCTCTGTGTACCTCTTTCTGCCGCTCTCTGCTCTCTACCTCTCTCTGCCTCTCTCTGCCTCTCTCTGCCTCTCTCTCCCTCTCTCTGCCTCTCTCATTATGTCTTTCGGCTGAAGCAGCAGAAATGCAGCAAGAACGCCAAGCTTCATCAGCCTACCAAAGCCACTATAAACACTTTGCAGCCTGATATCATCCTCCGCCAACCAACTTCCATAAAAAGGCTCGATGCCCGTCGTGACTTGTATTGTCGTCTTCCGAGGTGTGCTCGAACTGCTTCGCGCTGACGGGGGACTTCCTCCACCCACAGGCCCCCAAGGTAGTTCTATAAATTAGGGCCCCTTTTGGGGGTTCATGTTACAGGGGTGCCGATTTTGCGGGACTTGAAAATGGAACCCTAATTGAGAGAAACACGCTCCTACGCCATATTCTCCGGGTTCCACAATGGTTTTGTTTCCTCAGTCTCCGTCTTGAGTATAGACATACCACGAAGCCCAAGTCTACTTTTTAAGACCCATCTGTTATTCCCAGTATCCCAAATAGCCGAAAGGTAGCTACCGATCGTAGGCTACCCCATCCTCCCTGTTTCAGGTGTCGGTTGAGGTTTTAGGTTTAGGGTGTAGGGCTTCGGAACTGTAGGGTAGGGGATAGGGAATCGGGTGTTTAGGTTTAGAGTTGTTTACGGTTTGAAACGGCTTAAGGATCAGCGGTTGAAGGGTTAGGGGTTTGGGGCACCTCAACCCGAAACCCTATAACCCCTAAATCCGTAACAGCTTCGGGCTTTAAAGGGCTTGGGCTTCTTGGCTTCCATGTGGGTAGTTTTCTAAATTATGGTCCCTTTTCGGGTCCTTATTATAACACGGCACCTATTATTTAGGGTACCCCAAAAGGGAGCATAATTTTGACAACCACCCATGTTGAAGACCTCTTTCTATGCCGAAGATCAGGCCCCACACGAAGAGCCCCAGGCCTGAACCCTGTAGGGTTTGGGCTTGGGGCTTGGGGTTTTCAAAGGACTAAAGGAGGGACCCTTAAAGCGACCCCTTGGGGTTATATAGGGGCTTTATGAGACTATATAAGGGTGATATAGGGTATTTGGATTAGGGGTCCCTTCTAGGGGTCCCTCCTATTGTCCCTTAAGGTTTAGGGTGTTCGGGTGTTCGGGTCTTGGGGTGTTGGGGTTTGGGTGAGGGAACCAAGAGCTATCGAAGTCTCAAACTCAAACCTAGAGCCTATCCTGGTGAGCAAGAGGCATGGAGACAGGCTGGGCTTACAGCCTACCTACAGCCTCCATTGTCGTTCCTTTGGTTGGTGAGCTCGTTTGACACCAAAGGCTAGACCCCATAACTCTACGGCCCCCAAAGCCCTAGAGCACGTAACACTGAAACAATGAACCCACAACCCTTCGAAAGTCGTGTCACTGAGCCTCAGTGTGGACAAGCCCAACAAATCAGCTAGAGCTTGTTCTACTCTAAGCCCTAAAGACCCTGAACTCTAAACCCTAAACCCTTAGAGACAGCGGTATATCTGATATACAGCACTGCTTCAGCTTCTCTTTGGACTGTACACCTAAGCACACATCCCCCCCTTGATCCGACCCAAACCCCGGCCCCCTGCTCTACCAGCCCGATGCCCAGGTACATGGAATCGATGGGATTCTTCGAGCTTGAGCCTCACTATGCCTAGGGTTGTAGGGCTTCAGGGCATACAGGGGTCTAAACCCTAAACCCTAA